GTCTACATAGTGAGTTCCAGGACAGCTGGGGCTACAGGGAGACGCTGTCTCAAAAAGACCAAAAATAAAAAACAAAACAAAAACAGAGATAAAGTCCAGCATTCTTTAAAACTGTCCTTGATGAAGTAGAAAAAAAAAAAGACTGATTCTGTTGATATCTTCCAGCAAACGTGGCTTCAGAACTCTGTATACAGGAAGCATGTCAGCTGCACAGCTGAAAATGACCCCACCTAGAGGGGAAACTTTGGCTCCCTCAGCTTCAGGTTCCTTTCCTGTAGTGCAGCCCACTACCCCTTCACAGGTTTTTCCACAGGTGAGGATAGGTAGGCACATGAAGATCAGATGAAAATTATTAACAGGGGGCCAGAGAGATGGCTCAGCAGTTAAGAGCACTTGCTGCTCTTGCAGGGGACCTTGATTTAGTTCCCAGCACCCACATGGTGGCTAACAACCATTTGTAACTCCAGTTCAAGGGGATGCAACATCCTCTTTTGGCCCCTGTGGGTACCAGGCATGCATGTGGGGTACATACATACAGGCTGACAAAATACTTATACACATAAAAATAAAAATAAACAAATCTTTAAGAAATTATTAGTAGGATACAGCAGGGCCAGCAAATGAAACAGAGCCAAATGAAGCTTGTTGGACTCTTTCAAATACTTCATGAGCTAAGGATTTTTATTCTTGAGAAATGGTCTATGTAGCCCAAGAATACCTCAAGCTTATCTTCCTTCATCCTCTCTAAGGCTGGAATTATAGGCATACACCCAAAGCACAGTTTAAGAATGTTTTTGTGTTCTGTTTGTTTTTTGCGTGCTGGCTACATCTCCAGGCTGTTTTTGTTGTTGCTGCTTATTAGTCCAGGCTGGCCTTGAACTCTCAATCATCTTGCTTCAACCTCCCAAGTGCTAGGCTTACATGCATGCACCCCATGCCCAAACCTAAAAATAGTCACTCTCTTTCTCTCCCCCCTCTCCTCTCTTCCTCTCTCTCTCTTTCTCTCTTTCTCTCTCTCTCTCTCTCTCTCTCTCTCTCTCTCTCTCTCTCTCTCTCTCTCTCT